ATTGATTTTTATAAAGGAAGTATATAACCATTCAAAATGATATATGATTATATATGTATTTGAAGAGGCAAGGGATTTTGACCAACCCTTCAACTGTTTCATACAGATCAACACTGTTTCATACAGATCAACACTGTTTCATACAGATCAACACAACACTGTTTCATACAGATCAACACAACACTGTTTCATACAGATCAACACTTTCATACAGATCAACACTGTTTCATACAGATCAACACTGTTTCTACAGATCAACACTGTTTCATACATCAACACTGTTTCATACAGATCAACACTGTTTCTACCGATCAACACTGTTTCATACAGATCAACACTTTCATACAGATCAACACTGTTTCTACCGATCAACACTGTTTCTACCGATCAACACTGTTTCTACAGATCAACACTGTTTCTACAGATCAACACTGTTTCATACAGATCAACACTGTTTCATACAGATCAACACTGTTTCATACAGATCAACACTGTTTCTACCGATCAACACTGTTTCTACCGATCAACACTGTTTCTACAGATCAACGCTGTTTCATACAGATCAACACTGTTTCATACAGATCAACTCTGTTTCATACAGATCAACTCTGTTTCATACAGATCAACACTGTTTCATACAGATCAACACTGTTTCTACCGATCAACACTGTTTCTACAGATCAACACTGTTTCATACAGATCAACACTGTTTCATACAGATCAACACTGTTTCATACAGATCAACACTGTTTCTACCGATCAACACTGTTTCTACAGATCAACACTGTTTCATACAGATCAACACTGTTTCATACAGATCAACACTGTTTCATACAGATCAACACTGTTTCTACAGATCAACACTGTTTCATACAGATCAACACTGTTTCATACAGATCAACACTGTTTCTACCGATCAACACTGTTTCATACAGATCAACACTGTTTCTACCGATCAACACTGTTTCATACAGATCAACACTTTCATACAGATCAACACTGTTTCATACAGATCAACACTGTTTCTACCGATCAACACTGTTTCATACAGATCAACACTTTCATACAGATCAACACTGTTTCTACCGATCAACACTGTTTCTACCGATCAACACTGTTTCTACAGATCAACACTGTTTCTACAGATCAACACTGTTTCATACAGATCAACACTGTTTCATACAGATCAACACTGTTTCATACAGATCAACACTGTTTCTACCGATCAACACTGTTTCTACCGATCAACACTGTTTCTACAGATCAACGCTGTTTCATACAGATCAACACTGTTTCATACAGATCAACTCTGTTTCATACAGATGAACTCTGTTTCATACAGATCAACACTGTTTCATACAGATCAACACTGTTTCTACCGATCAACACTGTTTCTACAGATCAACACTGTTTCATACAGATCAACACTGTTTCATACAGATCAACACTGTTTCTACAGATCAACACTGTTTCATACAGATCAACACTGTTTCATACAGATCAACACTGTTTCTACCGATCAACACTGTTTCATACAGATCAACACTGTTTCATACAGATCAACACTGTTTCTACAGATCAACACTGTTTCATACAGATCAACACTGTTTCATACAGATCAACACTGTTTCATACAGATCAACACTGTTTCATACAGATCAACACTGTTTCATACAGATCAACACTGTTTCATACAGATCAACACAACACTGTTTCATACAGATCAACACTGTTTCATACAGATCAACACTGTTTCATACAGATCAACACAACACTGTTTCATACAGATCAACACAACACTGTTTCATACAGATCAACACTTTCATACAGATCAACACTGTTTCATACAGATCAACACTGTTTCTACAGATCAACACTGTTTCATACATCAACACTGTTTCATACAGATCAACACTGTTTCTACCGATCAACACTGTTTCATACAGATCAACACTTTCATACAGATCAACACCGTTTCTACCGATCAACACTGTTTCTACCGATCAACACTGTTTCTACAGATCAACACTGTTTCTACAGATCAACACTGTTTCATACAGATCAACACTGTTTCATACAGATCAACACTGTTTCATACAGATCAACACTGTTTCATACAGATCAACACTGTTTCATACAGATCAACACTGTTTCATACAGATCAACACTGTTTCATACAGATCAACACTGTTTCATACGGATCAACACTGTTTCATACAGATCAACACTGTTTCTACAGATCAACACTGTTTCATACAGATCAACACTGTTTCTACAGATCAACACTGTTTCTACAGATCAACACTGTTTCATACAGATCAACACTGTTTCTACAGATCAACATTGTTTCTACAGATCAACACTGTTTCTACAGATCAACACTGTTTCATACCAATCAACACTGTTTCTACCGATCAACACTGTTTCATACAGATCAACACTGTTTCTACCGATCAACACTGTTTCATACCGATCAACACTGTTTCTACCGATCAACACTGTTTCATACGGATCAACACTGTTTCATACAGATCAACACTGTTTCATACGGATCAACACTGTTTCATACAGATCAACACTGTTTCTACAGATCAACACTGTTTCATACCGATCAACACTGTTTCATACGGATCAACACTGTTTCATACAGATCAACACTGTTTCTACAGATCAACACTGTTTCATACAGATCAACACTGTTTCTACAGATCAACACTGTTTCTACAGATCAACACTGTTTCATACAGATCAACACTGTTTCATACCAATCAACACTGTTTCTACCGATCAACACTGTTTCATACAGATCAACACTGTTTCATACCGATCAACACTGTTTCTACCGATCAACACTGTTTCATACGGATCAACACTGTTTCATACAGATCAACACTGTTTCTACAGATCAACACTGTTTCATACAGATCAACACTGTTTCATACAGATTAACACTGTTTCTGCAGATCAACACTGTTTCATACAAATCAAGACTGTTTCATGCAGATCAACACTGTTTCATGCAGATCAACACTGTTTCATGCAGATCAACACTGTTTCATGCAGATCAACACTGTTTCATACAGATCAACACTGTTTCTACAGATCAACACTGTTTCTACAGATCAACACTGTTTCTACCGATCGACACTGTTTCTACCGATCGACACTGTTTCTACAGATCAACACTGTTGCATACAGATCAACACTGTTTCTACAGATCAACACTGTTTCTACAGATCAACACTGTTTCATACAGATCAAAACTGTTTCTACCGATCAATACTGTTTCATACAGATCAACACTGTTTCATACAGATCAATACTGTTTCTACAGATCAACACTGTTCCATACAGATCAACACTGTTTCTACAGATCAACACTGTTTCATACAGATCAACACTGTTTCATACAGATCAACACTGTTTCTACAGATCAACACTGTTTCTACAGATCAACACGGTTTCATACAGATCAGCACTGTTTCATACAGATCAACACTGTTTCATACAGATCAACACTGTTTCATACAGATCAACACTGTTTCATACAGATCAACACTGTTTCTACAGATCAACACTGTTTCTACAGATCAACACTGTTTCATACAGATCAACACGGTTTCATACAGATCAACACGGTTTCATACAGATCAACACTGTTTCATACAGATCAACACTGTTTCTACAGATCAACACTGTTTCATACAGATCAACACTGTTTCTACCGATCAACACTGTTTCATACAGATCAACACTGTTTCATACAGATCAACACTGTTCCATACAGATCAACACTGTTCCATACAGATCAACACTGTTTCATACAGATCAACACTGTTTCATACAGATCAACACTGTTTCATACAGATCAACACTGTTTCATACAGATCAACACTGTTTCATACAGATCAACACTGTTTCATACAGATCAACACTGTTTCATACTGATCAACACTGTTCCATACAGATCAACACTGTTTCTACAGATTAACACTGTTTCATACAGATCAACGCTGTTTCATACAGATCAACGCTGTTTCTACCGATCAACACTGTTTCATACAGATCAACACTGTTTCATACAGATCAACACTGTTTCATACAGATCAACACTGTTTCTACCGATCAACACTGTTTCATACAGATCAACACTGTTTCATACAGATCAACACTGTTTCATACAGATCAACACTGTTTCATACAGATCAACACTGTTTCATACAGATCAACACTGTTTTATACAGATCAACACTGTTTCATACAGATCAACACTGTTTCATACAGATCAACACTGTTTCATACAGATCAACACTGTTTCATAAAGATCAACACTGTTTTATACAGATCAACACTGTTTCATACAGATCAACACTGTTTCATAAAGATCAACACTGTTTCATACAGATCAACACTGTTTCTACCGATCAACACTGTTTCATACAGATCAACACTGTTTCATAAAGATCAACACTGTTTCTACAGATCAACACTGTTTCATAAAGATCAACACTGTTTCTACAGATCAACACTGTTTCATACAGATCAACATTGTTTCATACAGATCAACACTGTTTCATACAGATCAACACTGTTTCATACAGATCAACACTTTTTCTACAGATCAACACTGTTTCATACAGATCAACACTGTTTCATACAGATCAACACTGTTTCTACAGATCAACAGTGTTTCATACAGATCAACAGTGTTTCATACAGATCAACAGTGTTTCATACAGATCAACAGTGTTTCATACAGATCAACACTGTTTCATACAGATCAACACTGTTTCATACGGAACGGTCAGCAACCCTACATTTGTCCTGACCCTGATGTTCTTCAACTAATGGTGTGCTAACCATAAGTGCAAAAGTAATTCAGGGTTGAATGACATGGAATAACTAGTACTCCTGTCATTTGAAAACTGTCTTCTACACATGTATTAAAACAATAATTAGTCTCTCAATGACAAATTTCTTTTCATGTTTTCCTCTTGAAGAGATGAAGATGCACATGACGCATCGCAGATCAGCTAACTTCGTTGCTGGTCTTGTATTTAATCTTCAGTGCGATAGAAACCGTCAGAATGTGAGCTGGAGTCGTGTTCCCAGTCAGAGCTTGGGAAATATCACTGGAATAACCGTTAAGGACAACGCACTGTGGTTCCTTCCAGCCGAGCTTGTCCACAGCGGAGAGTACTCCTGTTTCAGCAGGTATTGCTTCAGTTCACTACGTTTCTGTTGATTTGGGTTTGACACGTGCATACTGAATACTGAAGCCCACTTGTTTATCCACAAACCATTTTGTTTTTTCCTGCTAAGGTCCATTTACAGTGTTAGTAAAGTTGAAAATGCTCTTTTGGTCATTCAAAATGGAACTGAGTCCTTTTAACACTCTCTTGGCATTAACAAGTCTTTTTTTAAATGAAAATGAAATGGCCGAATGATCAGAGTTCTTTAACAAATATCCAACTCTTCTTTCTAACGTAGTGGAGGATTCATCAGAAAAATCTGACACTAGAACGGGGTAAAATTTATTCATGGCTGTTTTTCGAATGTACATAACAAATTTTCAATAAAATCTCCCAGTCATTGACTTAAATTACAGTTTTTCTCCATTGGTTTGGCTCATTTCTTGAAACAGAAATTACATTCTCAAAACTCTAAGATAATTTGGCAAAACAGTCTTACAGTTCCGCACAACACCATGGTTCACCTGCAAAAGCTCATACCTCTCCCAAAACAGTTCACTCATGTGTCAAAACTAAATTTCCTTCTCATTTAAACAGTCAGTGCCCCCAAAATGCATCGTCCCTTTGGCATTGTGTAAGCACTGCAAGTCAAAATGTTTAGATGTTTTGTCACTATGGCAGAGGACTATTGAAATATCCCTCTTGTCCACCTTTCAGTCTTAGCCCAGTCCTTCATTGACAATGGTTACTATACTGTTTTTTTGTCTAGCTAACAGAATGCAATTGTGTATAAAACTGAAAAAAGGAAATAGGATTTTAGGGTAAGAGTAGCCTCCAAGGTTTGACATCACACATTGCATTCTGACTCATACTGCCAAGGAAATTGTACTTATACAATGAAATGACGCTGACTCGTTTTGGAGCGAACAACCATTAGACTGAGAATCAACAATCAGTTTCGATCAACAAGATCTATTCACTTGGAAATTGTGCTAAATGTAGGCTACCTGTACTTAATCATTTGCAAAGAGGTACTGAGACATTGAGACATCATACTTAGACATTTGCAATTTGATGAAATGAATGAGAAATTCAATTCTGTTGTGAACAATTGCCAAGTGGTTTGGAGGTTTGTCCATGTTGTTTTGAGAATGTAATTTCTGTTTCAAGAAATGAGCCAAACCAATGGAGAAAAACTGTAAATGACTAAAATTGTGTTATTTACAATTCCCCTCAGACAGCAACTTAGTGTTGGCCCAGATCCGGGCCACATCCATTACATGTGGATTCAACGTGTACCAGATGTACCAGATCCGACACTATGTTGCTGTTTGGGTCTGTTGTTAAAAATTGTTTATATAAAACCAGATTAAAATATACCTAAAACCGCCAGCAGGTGATGAACCTATATAATGCCTTTATTTCCGCGCTGTGTTTGGGCAACGTGTAGGCTTACTGTAAACAGTCACACAACGCACGTTCAAATTAAGATGTTTTAGCCTACTCATAAATGTTCAAACTTTGGATTAATTATTATTTTTTGTCGTTTATTGGTCGCTACGAGGGCTGCACGATTAATCACACGATTAACCCGTGATTTGGCAAAGGCTGCGATTATTTTATGCTCAGTTTGTCAGGGATTCTGCATTCCAGATGAGGGTGGGGAGATCACTCCACCAGCATGGAGCCGTGAATAATAATGTTCTGGAGACGGATTTTGTGGCTCTCTGTGATGGTACCACGAGCCGCCGCTCATTGACTGATCGTAGGCTTCTGTTTGGGATGTAGACTCGTAGGAGCGAGTGAAAGTAGGACGGAGCTGAGTCTGTGGTACATCTGTAAGCAAGCGTCAATGCCTTGAACTTGATACGAGCAGTGAGTGGTAGCCAGTGCAGAGAGATGAACAGAGGAGTGATACGAGCAGCGAGTGGTAGCCAGTGCAGAGAGATGAACAGAGGAGTGATACGAGCAGCGAGTGGTAGCCAGTGCAGAGAGATGAACAGAGGAGTGATACGAGCCGCGAGTGGTAGCCAGTGCAGAGAGATGAACAGAGGACTTATACGAGCAGCGAGTGGTAGCCAGTGCAGAGAGATGAACAGAGGAGTTATACGAGCAGCGAGTGGTAGCCAGTGCAAAGAGATGAACAGAGGAGTGATACGAGCAGTGAGTGGTAGCCAGTGCAGAGAGGTGAACAGAGGAGTTATACGAGCAGCGAGTGGTAGCCAGTGCAGAGACATAAACAGAGGAGTTATACGAGCAGCGAGTGGTAGCCAGTGCAGAGAGATGAACAGAGGAGTGATACGAGCAGCGAGTGGTAGCCAGTGCAGAGAGATGAACAAAGGAGTTATACGAGCAGCGAGTGGTAGCAAGTGCAGAGAGATGAACAGAGGAGTTATACGAGCAGCGAGTGGTAGCCAGTGCAGAGACATGAACAGAGGAGTGATACGAGCAGCGAGTGGTAGCCAGTGCAGAGACATGAACAGAGGAGTGATACGAGCAGCGAGTGGTAGCCAGTGCAGAGAGATGAACAGAGGAGTGATGCGAGCAGCGAGTGGTAGCCAGTGCAGAGAGATGAACAGAGGAGTTATACGAGCAGCGAGTGGTAGCCAGTGCAGAGAGATGAACAGAGGAGTGATACGAGCAGTGAGTGGTAGCCAGTGCAGAGAGATGAACAGAGGAGTGATACGAGCAGCGAGTGGTAGCCAGTGCAGAGACATGAACAGAGGAGTGATGCGAGCAGCGAGTGGTAGCCAGTGCAGAGAGATGAACAGAGGAGTGATTCGAGCAGTGAGTGGTAGCCAGTGCAGAGACATGAACAGAGGAGTGATGCGAGCAGCGAGTGGTAGCCAGTGCAGAGAGATGAACAGAGGAGTTATACGAGCAGTGAGTGGTAGCCAGTGCAGAGAGATGAACAGAGGAGTTATACGAGCAGCGAGTGGTAGCCAGTGCAGAGACATGAACAGAGGAGTGATACGAGCAGCGAGTGGTAGCCAGTGCAGAGAGATGAACAGAGGAGTTATACGAGCAGCGAGTGGTAGCAAGTCCAGAGAGATGAACAGAGGAGTGATACGAGCAGCGAGTGGTAGCCAGTCCAGAGAGATGAACAGAGGAGTTATACGAGCAGTGAGTGGTAGCCAGTGCAGAGACATGAACAGAGGAGTGATACGAGCAGCGAGTGGTAGCCAGTGCAGAGACATGAACAGAGGAGTGATACGAGCAGCGAGTGGTAGCCAGTGCAGAGAGATGAACAGAGGAGTTATACGAGCAGCGAGTGGTAGCCAGTGCAGAGACATGAACAGAGGAGTGATACGAGCAGCGAGTGGTAGCCAGTGCAGAGAGATGAACAGAGGAGTGATACGAGCAGTGAGTGGTAGCCAGTGCAGAGAGGTGAACAGAGGAGTGATACGAGCAGTGAGTGGTAGCCAGTGCAGAGAGATGAACAGAGGAGTTATACGAGCAGCGAGTGGTAGCCAGTCCAGAGAGATGAACAGAGGAGTGATGCGAGCAGCGAGTGGTAGCCAGTGCAGAGAGGTGAACAGAGGAGTGATACGAGCAGCGAGTGGTAGCCAGTTCAGAGAGATGAACAGAGGAGTTATACGAGCAGCGAGTGGTAGCCAGTCCAGAGAGATGAACAGAGGAGTTATACGAGCAGCGAGTGGTAGCCAGTCCAGAGAGATGAACAGAGGAGTTATACGAGCAGCGAGTGGTAGCCAGTGCAGAGAGGTGAACAGAGGAGTGATACGAGCAGCGAGTGGTAGCCAGTGCAGAGAGATGAACAGAGGAGTGATGCGAGCAGCGAGTGGTAGCCAGTGCGGAGAGATGAACAGAGGAGTGATGCGAGCAGCGAGTGGTAGCCAGTGCAGAGAGATGAACAGGGGAGTGATGCGAGCAGCGAGTGGTAGCCAGTCCAGAGAGATGAACAGAGGAGTGATGCGAGCAGCGAGTGGTAGCCAGTGCAGAGAGATGAACAGAGGAGTGATGCGAGCAGCGAGTGGTAGCCAGTGCAGAGAGATGAACAGGGGAGTGATGCGAGCAGCGAGTGGTAGCCAGTCCAGAGAGATGAACAGAGGAGTGATGCGAGCAGCGAGTGGTAGCCAGTGCAGAGAGATGAACAGAGGAGTGATGCGAGCAGCGAGTGGTAGCCAGTGCAGAGAGATGAACAGAGGAGTGATGCGAGCAGCGAGTGGTAGCCAGTGCAGAGAGATGAACAGAGGAGTGATGCGAGCAGCGAGTGGTAGCCAGTGCAGAGAGATGAACAGGGGAGTGATGCGAGCAGCGAGTGGTAGCCAGTCCAGAGAGATGAACAGAGGAGTGATGCGAGCAGCGAGTGGTAGCCAGTGCAGAGAGATGAACAGAGGAGTGATACGAGCAGCGAGTGGTAGCCAGTCCAGAGAGATGAACAGAGGAGTTATACGAGCAGCGAGTGGTAGCCAGTGCAGAGAGGTGAACAGAGGAGTGATACGAGCAGCGAGTGGTAGCCAGTGCAGAGAGATGAACAGAGGAGTGATGCGAGCAGCGAGTGGTAGCCAGTGCAGAGAGATGAACAGAGGAGTGATGCGAGCAGCGAGTGGTAGCCAGTGCAGAGAGATGAACAGGGGAGTGATGCGAGCAGCGAGTGGTAGCCAGTCCAGAGAGATGAACAGAGGAGTTATACGAGCAGCGAGTGGTAGCCAGTGCAGAGAGGTGAACAGAGGAGTGATACGAGCAGCGAGTGGTAGCCAGTGCAGAGAGATGAACAGAGGAGTGATGCGAGCAGCGAGTGGTAGCCAGTGCAGAGAGATGAACAGAGGAGTGATGCGAGCAGCGAGTGGTAGCCAGTGCAGAGAGATGAACAGAGGAGTGATGCGAGCAGCGAGTGGTAGCCAGTGCAGAGAGATGAACAGAGGAGTGATGCGAGCAGCGAGTGGTAGCCAGTGCAGAGAGATGAACAGAGGAGTGATGCGAGCAGCGAGTGGTAGCCAGTGCAGAGAGATGAACAGGGGAGTGATGCGAGCAGCGAGTGGTAGCCAGTCCAGAGAGATGA